GGCCGGGGCCGCCGGAGTCCGCGCCTCGAGGAACAGCGACTGAGGGAGCGCCCCAGCGGCCAGGCCCGCTGGAGGAGAACGCACACCGGCGGCGGTGGCGGCGGCGGCGGCCTTGGAGGCCTCTCCCCCAGCTCCGCCCCTTGCCCGGCCCCGCCCCTGGCACCGCTCCCGGCCCCACCCCCTCAGTGGCCACGCCCCCGGCTTCAACCAGGCTCCTCCCCTTCCCTGTCTCCTCCGCGCGCCTCTTTCTTCTTTCCGCTCCCCTTTCTGCCTTTTCCCGCCGCCCTCTCCTCCAGCTTCTCCCGCGTTTCTCCTCCTGGCTCCTCCCCACAGGCTCTTCCTCCCTGCTCTCCTCCTCCCCCAACCCTCCTCCCGCTCTTCCCAGGCCCCGCCCCTAGCGGGCCCGCCTTCCCTCCAGAGGCCATGGCAGGCCGAGCCCGGGCATGGCTGAGTCAGGGGCCAGCTGCCCTCATGCCCTGTAGCCTATGGAGCAGAAGCTCACTCGTGGGGTCTTCCCTCCCATGCCGGCGGGTTATTCGCTCCTTTCACCAGCCCTGAGGAAAGCCCGGCCGACTCCTTACATCCAGCCTGAAACTCCCTCCTCCCCGGGCCTGAGCTGCCCGCAGAGACCCGGACCAGGAGAGCCTCCGGGAAATGCGACCCAAGACGCTGGTTACTGGGGTCTAGCCCCAGCCAGGCTCTCCTCAGAGCAGGGCCGTCCTCTAGTTTGTATTTACTCTTAGAACCTTGTGACGTTTGACAACAGCAGGTATTCAACAAATACACATCAACCAGGAGCATGTTAACAATAAAAAACACACAATTATTAGCACAGGGCTCTGACTAGCGAAGAAGAAGGGAGCAAAGTCCAGAAGCTATCGTGTCCCAAATTAAGCAAGATGGGTCTGAGAAGACGTCAAAAAATAAGTCATCAGCTGGGGCGCCTGGGTGGCTCAGTCGTTAAGCGTCTGCCTTCGGCTCAGGTCATGATCCCAGAGTCCTGGGATCGAGCCCCGCATCGAGCCCCGCATCGGGCTCCCTGCTCTGCAGGAAGCCTGCTTCTCCCTCTCCCACTCCCCCTGCTCGTGTTCCCTCTCTCGCTGTGTCTCTCCCTGTCAAATAAATAAATAAAATCTTTAAAAAAAAAAAAGTCATCAGTGAAGTGGAAGGGATGGAGTTGGACAAGCCCCCCCCCCCCCCCCCCCCCCCCCCCCCCCGCCAATATCTTTGAGCTGTCTATTTTGAAAGGCCAGTTGGTATGTTGAACAGAATATGGCTTGGGAGTCAGGTCCGCAGTTCCAGGTCCAGCTGCAGGTGTGATCTAGTGCGTGATCTTGGGGAGATCTCCTGGTCTCAATGGTGGTTGAACTAAATGGCCTTTAAATTACACTCTCAGTTTTATTTATCAGTGAGTCTTGCTACTCCTATCTCTTGCATTCTGTAATGTTTTAGAAGGAAAGGAGAAAAAAAAATGAGGTAGGAGACAAGGAAGGCAATACTTTTAAGCTTCTCCTTAGATAAAAGTGAGAGAGCCCCAAAGCAGCAAGGAATTCCACATTACTAATTATTCCAGCCCACACTGATTTCTCTGCTGAATTTCCATAGCACAGAAAGACCCACGATGACAAACTGTCCCGGAATCTCTGATAAGTACCAAGCCTCCTGGACTGCCCAGACATCTTCAACATAAAGATCAAGAGGAGTGATACTATATCAAATCTCTGTGATGTGACTTGGACACAGAAGATAATGGAGACAAGATTCAGTGGAACCATCAGTTTCAGATTTACTGTTGAAGTGAGCCATATGTTGACTTTCCTTAGCAAAAATGAATAGGTAATGAGAATGACTACTGTATGTTCTACAAATTATTTTGTTACTTTTTAATGAATCACATTGCCAGATGTGAAGAAAACAATGCTATTGTAATTGTTTGAAAACAATTGGCTAGTTGATTGAAACTTTTCCTGATGGTTTCAATCAATGATCCCAACCCTAGCTACCTATTAGAATCACCTGAGGAGTTTTTCAGACCCACCAATGCTAAGACCTCAGACCAATGAAATCAGAATCTAACTGGGTTAGGCTGTGGCATCAGCATTTTTTCCTAAGCTACCCAGAGGATTCTAATGTGCAACCAGGGTTAAGCAACACTTTTTAAAATGAAATTAATTGGAAAAAATCTGCCTGATAGCAGCTTAGCAGAAAACAGCAGTAAGTCATTAACTAATACCACTGTATGGGGGTGGTTACCTATAAATCCGGAGTTAACAAGCAGAATCTTTAGGAGAGAGAAAACCTGAAGAAAAGTTTCTCCTGGACCCTGACTTTCTCCCCCCTCTCTCTAAATGTATGCCTGGCTGAGCAGAATGAGTGAAAAGAGGAAATACTCTGTTCTTGGCAGATATCAGGTCCCCAGTCCCCAGCCACAGCTGCCTTGCCTTGCTCCTGCTATGGAATTCTTGAACCTTAGACCCTGCAGCTTCTCCATTCCCTGGCTGGCCTCCCCATCTCTGGCCTGTGGCTACCTGCTAGCCGCCATCACTCTCTTCCAGCTTCCTAATTCAAGGCCCTCCTGCCCTTGAATGGTGTCACCCAAGTTGTACTAGAAAGTCCATGTGATGCTGTTCTGCTTTTTAAACAGGGATGACCATCCTGCATATTACATATCTTCTTTTACATGTATGGTGTCCTTATACTCATTTAAGCATATTCACTAGGGAGTTAGGTTGTAGGAGCCAGTTCTGTGTGACCTCAGTCCAGTCACTAAATCTTTTTTAGTCTGTTTCTTTATTTATTAAAAGAGATGATCACTAAGGGTTCTCCCAACCCTGAAATCAATGAACGTGAGGAAATGTGTCCACATAGTTAAACCTATGCAAATAATGGTGGTAAATGAGTCAACTCTGATTATTGATTTGACCTTCAGTGTCAAGTTTATTATTTGTCTCAGATTTTTGGGTTCTGATTGGACTCCAGTGTCCTATGGTGAAATTTGACTTTTAACATCATTTCCTTGTCCACAGTCTTGTATGCTGTTCGTCGATGAGAACTTTCTTCAGTCTTGTGTGTATATGAGAAATCTCCCAAAGGAGGGATTTTTTTAAAAATACATATTCTGCCTGCCAGGAGGCTGTTCATTCTTAGCTCTGCAGTGGAGGTGGTTAAAGGCCCAAGGCGCTCATAAGCCAAATGTTTACATTTGACCAATCCTCAGCCAGTTTCTCATGGATTTATCTGCCAGTAAACTTCTGCTACCTCCTCCCATAACTTCATCAGGGACGATTGGAAATTGTGACAACCATTCTGGAGCACTTTGACATATATAAAATTGTTTGAGAAGCACCACAGAGGCAAAAGGGGGAAGGCCTCTCAGGACACTGTCACATTGGTCTAAAAGAAAGATCATTTTGTTCACTGGAGAAAACCATCTCCTTCATTTCTATACTTTGGGGAGTTAAAAAGTACTCGGTGTTTAATTGGCCCGATAAAATTGTCCACCCAAGTCATTGTTTAACCAGCTATAATAATTCTTTCATGTGTGTTTAAGAGAGAAAAAAATGAATCTAATCTCTGCATCCAATCTCCTTCCAGAGGGAAGATAATTAGCCTTTACAGTGATGATTTCATATTTGTCTAAAGCCAGCTGTCTCTCACTTCCTTTCTGTTACGCATTTACTTCTCAATTAAAAAAAAAAGTTAAAAAGTTAGTTCTAAAAAAGCTAATTTGAAAAAAATGTCCAAGATATACTGTTAAAAGAAAATGTCCAAATTGCAGAATAGTATTTTAAAGTATGCCATTTGGGTTTTTAATAGGGGAGAATGAGAGATAGATGTTTTTATAAGCCCAGAATATTTCTGAAATAAAATACAAAAAAGTATGGTTACCTCAGAGGAATGGGAAGGGGGGGCAGATCAGAAATGCAAGGGGGGCAGAAACTTCTTTTCACTTTATATTCCTGTACAGTTTGGTTTTTTAACCATGTGTTTTTAATGCTTTAAATTAAAAAAAAAATGCTAGTTAAATGTGTGTGTATAAAACTCATTCTTCCACCACACACAAAAATATTTTTAGGTAATCTATTGCCTAAGGGTCTAGAACCTTTGTCTTGACAAACCAGGAATCCAAGGCATGGGTCTTTTTATTTTTCATATGTTGCTTAGTACTTTTGAGCTTTCCTAACATCTTAAATGCTGTCAAAGCGAGGTATGGTTAAGTATATAAGCCATTTTTCTGCACTGTATACTTTTTTATTTATTTATTTATTTATTTTAAAGATTTTTATTTGAGAGAGAGAATGAGATAGAGCACGAGAGGGGGGAGGGTCAGAGGGAGAAGCAGACTCCCTGCCGACCAGGGAGCCCGATGCGGGACTCGATCCCGGGACTCCAGGATCATGACCTGA